ATACTTTGGGCTACTTTTATATTATTTCCATACGGATGAAGTAGCGACTAACAGCTGGTATTTTATAGAGAAAATCCCGTGGCTCAACAAAAACACACACACACTGACACGGTCGTCACATAAGTGATATCTTACATTGTAATAGGCTTAAATAAAAGAACCATTTCTTTTCTCTTAACCTCGGTACTGTAGTAGTTTAACACCTTACTTCCAATGGTCGCGAGATGGATTCCTCGCACGGTACAAACATTTTTATTCTTGAATATGATTTGTATCTGTCCGGCTATTTTCTATGTACATTATGCATGTATGTACAAAAAATGTATCTATGCATTTATATCAGTAGTCTAGTACCTGTAACACAAGCTTTGCTTAGTCTGAGACTAGATGGCGATATGTCAATTTTCATGAGATATTATTATTATTAATTGAATAAATTTACTATTAATTGCCCAGATGCGGTGGTCAGAGACATTGTTAATTCTCGACGTCGTGACGAGTGCAACTTATGACATGTCCACATTTAAATCCGTATATTTAACCCTACATAGATCGCAATTACTTTGTTATATAATGGAAAAATTAAATTTACACTCCCACACCTTTCGGGTCTGTTAATGCGTTTACTTAACTAATCTCTCGCCGTGTACTTTTATCACACTTCGCCGACCGTTTGGACAGGACAACTGTACAAATAGACTATCTTCTTTTAGTACACGTCATTTATAAACGCGATGTCAAGAACGAGGTTGAAATGCGGACTCCTTGTTCTCAACAATGTTGCAGTAGATTAGTAACAGTTTGAACTAAATATAGAATCGATTATAAGGAAGCGGTAGATTGGAACTCGTGTACCAGTAATGTTCGGTATAGTGGAAGATTGGACGTCCCTTCGAGATGATTCGATTCGATTAATAAATTGCCGTTTATACGAATTATTTATTTGTATAAACGGTAATTTATTAACCTGAAAATTTAATATCTGTTAGTAATTTTAAATTAACAGCTATTCAGTAAATGTATATATGAACTAAAAAATATGCAATATGTACATAAAAAAATATTGCAAAGATTTGTTTGTCTGTTTGCTCTTCCTAATCTCTGAAACTTCTGGATGGCTTTAGATGGAACTTTCACTCGCAGATAGCTAATAAGTAGGAACTAATAATAGGAGTAACTTAGGTTACTTTTATTTATTTTAATTCAGTAAGGACAATATACAAATAACACAAATGACAGCGTGACGAGGTGTTATAGTTTAGTCGTCAGGAATGGCAACGCTAGAGTTGTATCACGGTTGTAACATGATAACGTGATATCCGTAGTGCTGTTAATGTATATAGGCGACGGTTACCGTCTCTGCTAACAGAATGGCTCAGCATGTTTGGTTTTTCAGTTACATAAAAAAAAAACTTAAAAAATAGTTGATAATAAAAATTCTTTCACCAATAGAAATTTATCATTGTGTAAAATGGACTATATTGTGCTAAAAAAATTAGTTCTACAACAATAGCAGTCGTGCGACGCCGGGACATGTCGGTAGTACAAAGTAAAACGAAATCAATTTCAACTCGTGCGCGAGATGCGTTGGCCAAGGCAGGGTTGCCAACCTCACGACATAAGGGGAAGGGGATTATTAGTAATGTGGACTGTTGACCCCATTGCTAGCAATCTACCATGACAGATTAACCTCCACGCGGTTCGCTATGGAAACTATTCTGATAAATTCCTGATAACTTTACGATGGGCTAATTGATCTGGCCTCATGTTCATCTATAATCCTGGTGTCCGCCAGCGCATACCATTAGCCCAGCCGGGTGCACCCTTACATTATAATAAATTTAAAAAAACATTACTACATTTTGCCTTGTACGAAGAAATAAAAAGTCTGATAAAATCTCGTAGGTACGTAACTCAATTTAACTCTTTCACTTCGTACATAGAATCTGTACTAATTTATTAATTTGTAGAATAAATTTAAGTAGGTAATATTTGTCTTTAGACTAAATTAAATTTTAGACGTAAAGTAAATATGTAAGTGTGTAATTAATTAAGAAGCCAAGACGGAGCTAACATGCTCACAATTGTGACCCTAAGCTCCTAGATAAATAAAGAGAGAAAAAAACTTCGTACAGTATTTTGACCGATTTTTATAGCTCAATATTCTATATGACGAAAATGACCTCATACAGAAGTTCAATTCATATCCGTCCGGCGGGAGTTGGCCTTCAGCGGCTCCATAAGTCCTTCTGCGGGTTTGGAGAGCCATCTGTACTCGCTTCCTATCGTCCGGTGAAGCCTTAAAAGCCAAATTCGACCAACAGTATTATATTCGTCCGAAAGAAACCGAAGTTCAAAAATATCGTATCAAAATTAAAATCTCTCTATTTATGTAGGTCTACTACAGACTCTTAAGATATGTCAAATTTATCAATTTAGATATCTTTCGAGCACTGACATGACATTCATATATTCATGTAGTTACGTGAGGATCCTCGTACAATTGGCATCCCTGGGCCTTAGGCTAGTGGTCGCGGAGCTAAAGGCTCCAATAACTTATTAATTCCTTTCAGCTTCTGGTTGACTGGTTAAGAGATCCCTCAGCAGGATAAGTACACTATTGTGCCAGCTTTCCTCCTTATTTTATGTATCTGCCTTTATACTTTACTGTATTATTCATGGAAACAAAAACATCAAATAAACATTCCTTTTCTGTTAAATAAAGAATTGAGCCGGAATGAAACAAACAAACCTCTTTTATGAATAATTAGAATAGGTTTATTGGAGATTTTTATGATTTCGTCTTACATTTCCTTTTCTTGGCGTATACTTTTCATTTAGCATTTTTAATATTTTAACTAATATATTTAATATATATACGTAATAAATCTTTTATGAAGTTAGACTTAAAAGAACCGGAACATTCCAGAAATCCTTAAAGCTAGCTCTATTTGCAAATAATTTTGTTTTTTGTATTTTAACACTTTATGACATTTGTAATTCAATTCAACTTCAAACACTATGATGTAATAATAATATCTCAACATAATTCATATAGCATTATCTAGTTCCAATCCAAGTAGAGCGTGTGTTATGGGTACTAGACAACTGATACATACATATATACGTTTTTTTATAAATACATACAGTATATACGTAAACCGTATACCGATAGAAACAATTATACTATGAATACAAATGTTTACACCGCGCGAGGAATTGAACATGCGACCACCGGATATAAAGCAGTGTGCTAAACGCCTAGATTACGGTGACTATCATCCATGTTACAGCCATCCATCAATAAAAAATGGCGAGCCGAAAAACAAATTTATTTAAAAAATGAGAAGCTATAGAAATCCATATATTATATAGGTAGAGGAGACGTGCAGAAGCATATAGTACAGAATATACAACACTACTGTTTACTTGAATCTCCAAATACTAATAGAAGGAAGTTGTGAAGTAAAATTAACAAATTGGAATTAATCCTAGAAAGTTACTACCACAAACAATATAAAAAAATATATGTTTATTTCAAATAAAGAACTCTGAACTCCTTTTCCACCAAATAACTGCATGTTTTTGCGAAAGAGAGACAAAAATAATATACCACATTCACTCGTAACGCGATATAGGTTGCAGGAATCAGATTAGGATCTCGGTAGCCAACTGGAATCTTTATTATCTTGACACTTGCTCGATCCCTTGCTGCATACGGTAGTCTTGCAAGAAAACCGCTGTAAATGCAATTAAACTACAACTTTATGGTACACAGGATACGGTTGATTGCTCAGGAAATACTGTACGTGAAGTAATATGATTAGATTCCAGGAGATGCTAGTTAGAAGTAAACTAGCAAAACGTTCATTCGTTTTTCGTCTTTGACTGAGAAATTTTATTACATAACGCACTGTTTTATGGTACTTTATAACTGTCACGCATCGTGAATTCTTGAAGAAATATTATTCCTATATTTTCGTATATACATAACTTTTAATATCTGATGAACTGAACACCCAGTTAATGTAGTAAATTAGTTATCTACATTAATATCGTAGAAAGTTACTATGAGTTAGATCTGTGATTTTGAGTCCATGTATATGTGTATATCGGTATGTAACCGTCTATTAATAGAAATTAATTAAAAAGAGTCCTTTTCACTTTATTTATACTATATTTAATTTTTTATCCCAAAAAATGTGCAGCTTAATGAATCAACTAAAAGTTTAAATGATTTTCGAGATTTTATAATTTTGAAGGTTTAATTTGATTACAGTTAGAATTATAAATATATTACAAGAAGAAAAGTGACTTTATACAAATATTTCAAGCCACGTCAAAAGATTAAAAATTATATATGTGCTACTATAGAACCCTCGTATTTTAGAAAAAGCTTCCCCACTGTCACAGGACGAAGCGAGCCCAAATTCATTATTTACACAAATCCTTTGCGCAAGTTGTCTAAAAAATTAGCTGTCGTTCTTCTAAACGACGTTCAATTTGCGTAATTTATTTTAATGTCAATGTCATGAATTCTTTTACATAGAACCATCGCTACGACTTAGCAAGCTCGTCAAAGCTTGTTAAGTCCCGATAGATGACGCGAAGCTCCAACTTACTCATTGTCTCCAAGTTTGGTCCGAGAGTGACGGACGCTTCTAACTTATCAATTAATATTGGATCGTGGTCCATCGTGAATATTCAATCAGATATTATCCGGGTACACTCCAACGATGCTTTCAATTATAAATAGCGAAAACCGATGAAAACGTACACAATTCGCACCCTTCGCTTTTCTGCAAGAACTAGCGGCGTTTTTGCCTCTGCGGCAAGTTGACCCCACGCGATATTGGATCTTCCATTGAGGATGTAGGGTTGTATTTCGTCTGTTTTACTATTCGGGGGATGCTGCGTCTCCGTATGTATTATAAATTGGTTTAGAGTGGCGCGGGGGAGTCGCCGTCGCCCGCTCGATACCGGCCAGCCAGTCGCGAATCCAGCTTGCGAGCGATCGCATCTTTGCGCCGCTGTAAATCTCGATGCAAATAACAATATCACTTTATTGTGGCACTTTTGAATTGATGTCTTATCTGTCTAGTGTATAGGTTGCATTACTATCTGTTGTGGTCACCGCGAGTGTTGTTTATAAATTACGTACGCTGTTGGATTGTTGCAGTGTAATTAGGGGATATAATTTTTGTTCTGTTTAAGGTAAGTGCTTTACGTTAATTATTATACGGCGTCTCGAATTGTATTTAGCGTGACAAAAGGCTGTATTTGCTTAAAAGGCTGTCAAATATAATATATCTTCTAAGATTTCATTGGTACTCTTTTATATTTTCATTCGTATTGTATATGATTATATTAAGATGTAATCTGCTATTATCAATACAATTACTTAATGTTTTGATAACTAGAACTTTTATATTAATAAATAGAAGTTAAGAAATCTTATTAGTATAATATTTCTGCAGTAAAAGCAAACATAGGTCTAAGGTCGGAATGCCGCATTGCCTACCTATAATGGTATTACCAGTAGATATATTTATATAAACAGTGACATGCTAGGGACTTATTACGCGATCATACAGTTATCTTGTGGGAATCTTAGGCTTTATTACATTATAACATTAAAGGAATATTGTTGGCATTATCAACTTTGATGCGGATTTTATTAATTTTGATCTTAATCGTGTTTATTAAATATTGCGTAGGTACTAGTCGGTCATGAAAACTGCGGTGACGCAACGGCGTTACCTTTAATAGTGGAAAACGTGTAAAATTCTGGTTTTACCGTTTTATTCTCTATGTTTTAACTTATTAGATAATATAATGTTTGCTATGAGAATTATGAACGTGGACATTAACGGAGCATGAGTGGAATTTCTTCAATTTTAATAGATTGTCTTAGCTACATATCTTCAATTCTTTATGCTAAACTCATTACTCGTTAGGGGAGAGGAAAACGATTGCGAATGGTCCCTTCTTTGCATACTTATTTAACACTATTTCCTCCTACTTCCTCGTAATACAATCGATCTTCACATAAAACGTCACCCACTCGTGATAAGGTAACAAATAAACAGACAGATACACTTTCGCATTTCTAATATTAGTATGGAATATGTATTTCAAATTATGTCTCTTATGTACTCATGAATCTAAGTATTTTTTTCCATAATAGCTGATAATGGAATGATGCACTCGCTTGTGCTAACGGTATACGCTGGCGGGGCACCAGTGGATGATAAAATGAGTATGAGGTCAGATCAGCTATCGTGGCAAATTGATCGAGAAGTTAACAAGTTGGTTTTCAGAGAGAATCGCGGATTACTAAACTGATTTTCAGCAATGTACCATATCAGAAAGGAGCTTGTTAGTAATGTTACCAATAATCTCCTTCCCCCACAGTCAGAAGTATTGTCAGCTGTCGATATTGTGACGAACGCAACACTTGACATGCCCACATTTCGCTGAGTATATTTGAGTCAATCGTGATGGTGAATCTACCGTCTCCTGTTTTATTATTATTCTTTGATATAGGTATTATTGCTTCACCAGAGAGATAGTAATAAATAAAAATACACTCACAAATTATTTATATGCTAGATTTGAGATCTGAAATTACGACCTCGGTGTTCCTTAATTAGAGTAATAGAAATAAAATTTGACACTTTTTTTGCGTCGGCCAGATTTGATATTAGATACTCTTAGGTGTGACTCAGATATTAAACTAGTGGTTTCATGCATACCACGACGGTCGCATGCATATTATACTGACAAAATAAAGATATGTATCAAGTCCACGGAGTCCTAACTGTCTGCAGAGGACGATGGACATCTTAAGAAATAAATAAGTTTATTAGAAATAAATATGGCGCCGCGCCAACAGAATGTATCTTAGTAATCACTCATTCTGAATAGTGGATTTTGTTTGTATATGTACGGATGAATGGCTAAGCACTTAACTACTAAGAAATATTATAGGCATTTATTTTTCCATTCATGAGTATTGATTACTATAATAATATTGATCTAGATTGAGTGCGTAGCGGTTTCTATGCTGATTGTGGCATGCCTAATCCTTGTTAATGTGTATTTACCTATAACAACATTTATTTAAAAGAGCAATGTGTAAGTTTTCTTCTCATTCTCCTTGTAATGAGTCTGCGTTCCGAATGAGTGGTAGAAACAAAAAAATATTACTATTCAAATATGCTTATTTAAGTTTTTCGATTAAAAATTAATTCTATTTTTAATTATTTCTAGACAAACACACCTTCATCTATTCCCAAGCAATACTATTTTTGTAAATACACAAATAATATACACGGAGCCCAATTAAAAATATATGTTTATTCGTGCGAGTAATCGAACTTGCCGAAGGTAAGCTAAAAGGATAAGTAACCTTATTTTTTTTTTATGGATCATAATGGAATGGTGCACCCGCCTGCGCTATCGGTTTACGCTGGCGGGGCACCAGTGGAGGATGACAAGATGAGCATGAGGTCAGGTGAGTTAGCCCATCGTGACAAATTCACAAGGAATTTATCACGATGGTTTCCAGGAGGAACCGCGTGGAGGTCAACCTGACTTGGTACATTGCTAGTGATGGGGTCATGAATCCACATTACTAACAGTCCCCTTTCCCCCCAAGTAACTTTATTGCTAGCAATGTACCAATCAGTACAGACCAGATATTGCCTTGAAACAATCGCAATTAATTCTTGGTGAAATGAGACAATGGGCTAACTGACCTAACTTCATGTTAATTCTACTATCATACACTGAAGCCCGCCCCCCTCCCCCCCAGCATGTAACGTTAGCACAGGCGGGTGCAAGTTTTTATCGTCATGTTTTTAGAATTTGGAAAAAAAGAAGTACAAAGTTCTGGCAAAAATTGGCATTTTCATGAATAGTACAGTAGAAGTAGTACTTGTCGATAAGTGTTAGTCTACTTTATATTCCAGTCCCTCTGTCTGTGTAGCCATAATTATTGTACAGGAGTCAAGGTCTGCCCTGGTTTCCAAGTCACGAACCTTGTACTGGTCTGTTCACGGAGATATGAATTTTACATGATTTCGTTATTAACAGCAATTTACAATTGAATTTATAAGTTGTTAGGGTTCCAAATTCAAACCATAAATTATTTAATTTCCCAGCATATATATACTTATTTTTTTTTAATTTTCAATGGCTTTAGAAGCACAAAAACTATGAATACTGTCGATTTTATATTTGGAAAATTTTACATGCTGTTGTTCTAAAAATTGAGATAACAATAAAAAAAAAATTGTTATTTTTATTTTGAAGTATGTGGTGTTTGGTATAATAAAAAACAGGCGTGTGGTCTGTTCTAAATTGTTTATATTTTCTTAATTCGAGTAGTTAGCAATTGATTCGATTGAAAACTGTAATTATTACCAAAATCACGATTTATTACGATAAATTTGAAATATGAATATGCCTAGTTCAACTATAGGATTAGTAAATGTTTTCAGTAGCGTTGTTTACAGGTACTGCAGACTGATTTAAAAAAAATCTTTATTTGTGAATATATTAGATTGTTTATTTATTTATTTGTTGGGGTTATACATAAAAATAGATAGTCCAATTGCTATGAAAATTTTATTTAAGCCCATAGACGGTGTTGCAAACTCTTTACATATATTTATATATGAATTTTTGTATAAATATTTATTGTCTATTTTTTTTCAGTTAGTAGACTTGACAAACATTTAATTGTTACTTTATCACTTTTTTTTATCCGTTTTTTCATTAATCTCACGCACAGTCTCACATTCTATCGTCCACAAACGTAGAAAATCGCTGTCCTTTTCGCCCTTGCTCATGAAGTTCCATAGTTATTTTTTTAACTATAATACTGGATTTTATTATAGATATCATAAAAATATAATGTCATACTTACTCTTTATATTACAATGCCTTGATGGTAGTCGCTTTATGAAATTGTATAACATATAATAAGTCGTCTAAGAAAATATTCCCCATTTCAAGTTATTCGCGAGGCAAAGTAACCTAAAATGGGAGACATTTCTCTTCTACGCTAATGTAATAACTTACCCACAGTCATTAAGATATCCATAACATAACAAAATCCTTATAAAGTTCATTGACCGGGACAGTATATGGCCGACGCAGATACTATTGTCACGACGCAGTGGCGCCCATAGATATAGGGATACTTGCTGAGCCTGTGACTCCACACACATAATATTCATAATGCTTTATGGATGGTAAGGAAAAAACAAATAATTTTCAATAAGTTATTAAAGTTTAGTTTATAAATTTTAATTAGTAACTTTTTTATATGTAAATATTTTTTATTATTGAATATTTAAATGAAGATTGCTACAGTACGATATTGTAAACCTATCCGATCGATCCCTCGTCCAATTCAAACGGGGATCGAAGTTACGACGGCCTGAGCCGAGGTTCGAACTCCTAGACGTGCCCTCTGACTAAAGTCATTTCCGTCAGGCGCGAGTTGGCCTTCAGCCTCTCCATAAGTCCTTCCGCAGGTTTGGAGTACATCTGCACTCGCCCCCTGTCGTCTGGTGAAGCTGTAAAGGCCAGCTATAGCATTAGAGCAGTCCGGAAAAAAATTGTCAACCATGCGATTTCAGTGAGTAGTGCTTGTGTGCACTACAGTTAATTCAGAAAAAAAATTTACCAATAAATATTTCCGGTTCTATCAATGCATAGTATAAAACAAAGTCGCTGTCCCTATGTATGCTTAAATCTTTAAAACTACGCAACGGATATTGAAGCGTGATTTTAGTAGATAGAGTGATTCAAGAGGAAGGTTTATATATTTAATACATGTACACCCGTGCGAAGCCGGGGCGAATAGCTAGTTACATTTAAAAGGTCTCCAATAATAATATTTTTCATATACATTCCATATCTTTATATGAATACGTATAAATGAAAGGCGATTATGTTTATTACAAGTACCTACCTTTAGTTAGAGGATCTGAGTTCATATTGATATGAATCTAAACGTGTCAAACTCGAGACTCAAAAGCATGTATGTATTCATATTATATGTTATAGGACATTTTAGACTGAAGCATGGACATAATTAAACTTATTTCTTCAAAAAAGCATATGAAAGAATTACTAACTAACAAGAAACTTGGCTATTGTCCTTGAGAGTGCTATCAAAATGTACTTATTTTGGATGTCAC